CACACTCGTGCTCGCTACAGTATATACATTCAGTAACGTTTATTTTATGATGCCATCTTAAAAGATCAATTAAATTTTTAACATAGTTGAAGTTTGAACTGTTGATTTACAAATAAGATAAATAAACGTAATTAAATTAACATAATGGAAATGTATAATGTATAACATATAACAAAGTAGCTAAATAAAACGCGCATTACGTATTTTACAGTTTTATTAAATGAATTTGAAAATATTGTCTTCCATTAGTACGGCTGCTAATAACTTTCGATGAAAACCACACTGGCGAAACAGTAGTGTCAAATTTATTTAATAAAATTATAAAATTCATAAAATGATTTTTATTTGGGTATAATATGTAACATCATGAATTAAGACTGGATAACATCAATATAATAATTCATTTATGTTAGTATAAATTAATCATCATTATATGGCAGTTAGCCCTAAGATTGGTTGGACACACACCTTCACTATTTCCTATCCCGAGTCCCGTCGGATCTGTATAAATTAATATTATAGAAAATAGTTGATGTATTGACAATATCGCAATTGATTATTTCAGAAAATTTTATGTTGGAAGGAAATGGATTTGTTACTGCTTTGAAAACATTAGATGCTTTTCAAAAATTATAGATATTTAATATAGTTAAAAATACACGCATTCGAATTTGAAAACATGAAAACAATAGATAGATATGCATATTTAAAAAAAATACAACGTGTAATTATACAACACGCTACTGAAGTGAAACTACTTCAAACACACAAACATGCCGGGATAGGGTTTAAGGAATTGGTTTAATGGTATTATTTGTACACTATGAATTTAAATTTTACACTATACATGTCGGAGTTGCCTGTAACGAACGTTGCATGGAAGCGCGCTCACGCCTTAAGCGATCCTAACTACGAACTCGAGTACGTGGCCGAGTAGAGGGGGGACATCCGTTGCATGATTTCGTTACACAGCAACTCGAATTAAACGAACTTACCCTACCGTGTCTATAAAGAAGTTTCACTTCAAAAAATTTTAGCTGCGGTTGGATCGGCTAAAATAGAAGGAAAACATCTGTTTTGTTACTAGTCGGCACATTTTGCAGACGTAACATTGCGAGGAAACAATAATTGTCAAGTGCAATAAAAAGTTATTGAAACATTCTTTTGGTATTTGTTATTTTCACGGGTCATAAATGTCCAAATGATAATATTGTAAGACATTATGTTCCATTAGATTGTCATTTTATCTATAAAGATGAAGTAAAGTTAATGTTTTTACTGAAGTAGCATTGTTTGTCTGTGTAGTTTACAAAATAAAAAATATGATAATAATTAAAGTAATTACATTAAAGGTAATATACGGAAATGTATTACCTATTTTTACAAATTTCTTTACAGACTATCATAGTAATTAAATAGTACTCAGACGAAATTGCTAAAGTGTATTGTTCATTCCGAAAACCAATATCAAGCCGTAGCAAAATAAATTTCTTGTCTCAAAACAACCCCGACATATTATTCATCGCCCGATCATATATGTGTGAATCGGTAAGATATACAACCGCGTATGAGAAAACTCAAGGTCATCTAGAAAGTTGAATTTTTTATTGGCGATTTCTTAGTTAATTGGACTGAAAAATCAACACCGTTAGTCGAGACACTTTCTTAGTAAGCAACTCTTGAAGTGCCTGTAATGTTTTGTAAATATTTTTTAAATTGTAAGGATAAGCTATTTTTATCAATAAATTGCAATCTTAATATTTAACATAATCTAATTTGATTTCAATTTTAACTATTCTTTATATTTTTGCATCACTCCAAGACCGTCCTCACAAAAGCATATTACGCTGCACCATATGAAAACTTTTCAAACGGTTAAAGATGTGACGTTGGGGAAAGCTGCGCGAATGAAAAGATTACACATTAGTCTTGAGCAAGACTAAATAGTTTGAACGAGATAAAGTATGATTGGATTTAAAATTTTGTCACGGCGCACCTAAGTAAGGGGACTTATCTAACCGTTTGAGATGACTTGTACATTAATTCTTTTAACGTCGATAATAACTTAAATAACTTATTCTACTTGCTAATCTTTTAATTGAACATTAATTTTATTATTATCCATAAAAAAAAAGGTGGTCTGTGTTCACTTTGGCTTCTAGTTCTCCAAAAATGATAAAATCACAAAGGGCTACTAAATATCGGCGTGCATTTTGGAGATTCAATCGAACAAGCCGACATTTTATTTTATTTTTGCGATAGCTCAAAAATTATGCACTTTAGAAGTTTTTACAACATTAATTGTTGTAGGAAATCAAATTTTCCATCGGATTGCCTTGTTGAAAAAATTCTTTTGTCATTTTTAGTATCAAAAATATTTTAAATATAAAGATGAAAATTTAACGAAAATCAGTTTCTTTTTGCAGTAATTCGTCCATAATTTTCTTTTTGAGGTATTTTAGGCGTACATGTTCGTCATTGTCATTTAATGTTGACATATTGAAGCATTTTTACTCTCAAAATCATTTTATCATATCACAATATCATTAAAATCATGGATTTCAAATCACTTCTATAAGCGTCTACGTAAATAAAAAACATTTTCATTAGAAATGGTCCAGCAAAGTTTACGTGTACTTATTCATAAGGCATATATAATTTACATTTATGAAAGTTTGTACTTAAATACTCTATATCATAGTTGATACGAACAAAATCCTCTGGCTAATAACTTCAAAATGCCTAGAGTGTGGTTCTTTCAAAATTTTGCCTTTTAAATTAGTCGGCATCACGACTTGGTGACATGGAATCATCCATTGCTCCAAACAAAAATATTCAACGTTACGTTTCCACCTGTTTTTTTCACCTAATTTTATTCCATTTTTAGGAGCCTTTTACAATTTTTAAATTTTGTTTTTTTTTGTAACTCTTAAATTTTCATTTGTAGTCACTGATACACGTTGCAAATTTTCTACATATCTACATTTATACTTGTATCACTTTTGATTTGCAGCCGATTTAGCTAAAAAAACTTTATTGTGATAAATAGTCGCACTAAATTTCACCTAGGTCCGATTTATAGTTTTTGTATAATATTTTATAATTTTCGGTGCGTGAAAAAATTACAAATTTTCAAATTGTTGCCGAGGCCTAACAAAAGTATTTGAAGACGTGAAAATTCTGACATGTAGCGAGGCGACTAAATTTTTGAACCCATTTTGGCAAATTACAATCCGTTGGTTTGGAGAGCCTAGTTGTTTAAATATCTGGAATTTTACTTATAAACAAATGCAATAACTTTGCCAATCATCATCATCATAAGGTTGTCAGTCCTAACACTGGTTGGACACGCACCTCCACTCTTTCCTATCCTGAGCTAATCATCGCATTTTCTAACAACTAGAACAACCCATATTCTAAACTATTTGCGAACAATAATCTAATCTACTTCTACCCCTCCTAACTTCCGTTTCTGCCTCTAATATGTCTCTCACTAGACCTTCATGCCTGAGAAGGTATCCTACTAACCTATCTCGCCTATTTTTTATTGACTTCCATAGAGTCCTCTGTTCTCCTATTCTTTCTAATACTTCTTCATTTCTAACCTCTATCCACGGTGTCCTCATAATTCGCCTGTAACATGACATTTCGAACGCTTCCAACCTTTTCTGCAGCGCCCACTGTCCATGTTTCGCACACGTACAGCGCCGTGCTCCAAACATACACCCTTTAACAACCTTTTTCGAATTTCTATATTAACCGTTCGCGAGCATAGAAGTAACTTCTATTTATTGAAGGCCACTAGACTATCTTCCTTCTCTAATTTATCTCTTAACACCTGCGTTTAGGTTCTGTAAATATTATTTCCACCTATCTGCCTTTTCCTCATTTTCTATCAAAATGACCCCTGCCTCGTTTCTTATATTATTACTACTATACTACTTTGCTAATACTGGACTAATTTTAATTTTCAAACACACATTTTGAAAGTACACGGATAGGTGCTGACTGTGACGGGCTTTTGAAAATATAATAAATAAATCATAAAAATGTTCGAGACGTCGGTTTAAAAAAATCAATAGGATAGGTTCAGTAGAAGCCGAGAAAAGGAAAATTTTTTGGAACGTCCTCCAAGCTTTCCAGAGTTATCGAATCAATTTCGAGGTGAATACGTACGCTGCGTACTATCTATACTTGATTGAAATCGAAGAGTTTCCCAATCAGCCTATACAATAGCAAACAAGGGTGCGATTGATGTAAGGTCTTCCTACATAGTACACATTATTACAAATACCGAGAAAATGTGACATCTAACATTAGTGCTAGGCGAATCTGATTCTATCTAAGCCCAAAAAAAAAAACAACTACATTCGTGCCGCTCGGGGTCGATGACTATTTTTCCTTTACGACTTTTGAAAATGATTCCAACAAAAATCCAGCATACCTACTACCCTTTTCATTCAAACATTTTTTTTTCAACTCAAAAAGAAGCATGGAGAAGATCACAAGCGTGACATTTCAAGGCCAAATATTACTTACTTTGTTACTTTGCGAGATTTTATAAATTTAACATTAATAACTGAAACATAACACGTTAACACTGCACTGCATTAACATTTTTATCTATCCCCAATTTCTGGGTTGGTTAATGGAAACCTCTCACAGTTCAAAAAAAATTCTTTTTTAGTAAAACATTCATTTTATATTATTATGATTCATTTTAATATTATTTTTTTAGCATAAACTGTTAGTTCAAAAATTAAAGGCCTTATTTATTTTTGAAAAGGAATTTTATGAAGAAGTTGAAACGAGCGTTATAAGAATTATTAACAAGAACATCGATAGTACTTGGGAAGATTTATTGTGTGATAATTTTGCATTAAAACACATTGGTCCAAGATTAGATAAAACTTCTTTATTGCAATTATCTGAAATTATTTTTAAACAATTCCATAAAAGTGATAATATATTTCTTAAAAGAAATGCTGAAATTTCAAATTGTGAAGCTTTAATTTCAGCCATACTTTATACAAATCTATCAAAAATAAGTGGCTTATTTAAAGGAAAGAGAAAACATGGTGAATCAGCTGTAAAACAAATGAGAACATACACCTTTTTTTGTAATATTCCTTGTGATATTATTCTTTCTAATGGCAATACAACTGCAGATGAGTTCGATGTTGTTTTAAGTAATTTTATTACAACAGCAAATCTAAAAGATACGGATACTAAAGATGATTTTAATGAAAAGAAAATTTACGAATATTTAGAAATATTTGGAAAATTACCGGTCCTGTTTTTGTCACAAGAAGTTGAAACTGCTCTTTTTCTCTATTTTATAATAATTCTGTTAGATTTGAAACTTCTTCATTCGTCCATAATTTTC